AAATTTGTTTACTGATTTTTGGAGAAATTCAAGTACCTTTTTCTTCTAAACAGCTAGCTTTAAATGACTATTGTTAAAACAATGTAATTGTATAGTGGAGATTTAAAAAATTCTTAAATGTTATTTTTGAGAGAGAGATGCAGATTGCAAGCAGAGGAGGGCAGAGAGAGAGGGAGAGAGAGAATTGGAAGCAGGCTCTAGGCTCTGACTGTCAGCACAGAGCCCGATGTAGGGCTTGAACCCACTAACTCTGAGATCATGACCTGAGCTGAAGTCTGATGCTTAACCAACTGAGTCATCCGGGTGCTCTAATATAGTGGAGATTTTAAAAGACATTAAAACAACAATTAACTTCTGCTTATCAACTCTATTTTTCAGCCTAAGGGTGTAGTCTTGAGAATAATATTCATTCTGATTCTCTCCCTTCTGCAACACAACCCATTGTCTCTTAATATTTACCTCTCCTTCTTCAATTTTTAGCTAGACACATGGCTGCCACTAATGAAGACTAGTTGTAGTTGTATAACTAAGTTCTGGGAAATGGGATTTTAGTAGAAGTAATATATTTGACTTCCAGAAGTGTCTGTAAAGAGAAGATAAACGCTCATCTCCTCTTCCTTTTCTCCTTCCTATTGGTTTAATGTAGACAAGATAATTGGAGCTAGAGCAGCCATTTTGAATTAAGTGATAGCTGCATGATGAAGTTGACAGAGTAGCAAGGTAAAAGAAGCCTAACGCTATCATTCCAACCCTTGATCATAGATCTAGACATTTTGATGAGAGAAAAATAAAATTCTATCATGCTTAAGTCATTGTTATTTGGGGGTTTCTGTTACTGGTTATTAAAGTGAATCCTAAGCATTTTTTTTTATTTGCTTGTTTTTGCTTACCATTTTATTGTCAACATCTGCTATAGGATATGATGGGAGCTGAACTATGAGACACAGCCATCTAGCAGGATAAATATGATGGGTTTTTACTAGCCTAGGAAGAGAGATGTAAAAAATAGGAGTTAAAATTGAGGACAAAAACCATCTCTGGTACATGCAGTCAATAAATATTTGCTGAGTGAATTAATGAATATAACAGGTAGCTGTCATGTTTTTTAATCAAATATTAAACATGTCTAGATCTTTTTCTACACCAGTGAGTCAACTCCTACTATTTCCAGCTTAACTGAGACTTTTCTGTCAAGTCTCTTCAGCTTCTCCTGGCACTGGGTAGTGCTTACCTCCTTGAATATGTCTCTCCATCCCTTATGTTTCTGCTATCATCATATCATATTGTAACTTCAGAACAGTGCCCATGACTTTTCTTTTTTTGCCCTTAATACTCAACATGATGACTGGAAGGATGGATGAGGAAACAATTCTTCCAAACATACAAAAATTCATATAGGACTTTCTTATGATGATTTACATCCTTTGCAATTTAGGAACTGCATATTTTATATATATATATTATATATATATGTGTATATATATTATATGTATACATATAATATATATATATGTGTATATATATAGATAGAGAGAAACATAGAGAGATAGAGAGAGAGACAGAGAGATAGAGAGAGACAGAGAGAGAGAGGAAGAGGGATTCATTTTAAGGAATTAGCTTATAAAATTGTGGGGTACTGGCAAGATTGAAATCTGCAGGATGGAATGGCAGGCTGGAGACCCAGAGATTTAGTTGATGCTGCAGTCTCACATCTCAAGGCAATCTACTAGGAGGATTCCTTTTTCTTGGGGACCTTACTAACTCTTTTCATTAAGGCCTTCAACTCATTGGATGGGACTTCTTACAGAGGGTATTCTACTTTACTCAAAGTCTATTGATTTAAATGCTAATCATACCTGAAAAATACTTTCATAACAACATCTGGATTAATGGTTGATCAAAAACTAGGGTACCATGGCCCAGCCAATTTAACACATAAAATCAACCATCAGAGGAACAATACAGAGAAATGAGTTTATATAATAATTTTAAGTTCACACAGTACTATTTAGATGACCTTGGCTGGGAAAGTTGCATTTATTATTCAGTATTATAGCAAATTACCATGAAGCTAGAAAAAACTATTGATTATGACAAATGAGAGGTCCTACAGAAACAACTAGAAATATAATCAGATGTGTTTGATAACTTCATATTCATTATTATCACTTACATAAAGTTCACTCACACAGAGCATTTGTTACATAATAGAATTAAACCAAGCTCATGTAAACCAAGAGCTGGGGGAGAAAAACAAAAAGAATGTTTACATCAGCAATTTAAGCTTAAAAGATTTTTACTATTATTAATCAAGAATTTGAAAATCCTGAAGACATAATACTTCTTTTCCTAGAACAAGATGTCCTATTCATAGTGCAGATGAAAACTATATAAAAAGGAGGAAAGGAGAAAGCGGTCCCTAGTATGTGTTGATCTAGATTAATGGTTGCAGTGTGCTGTGTTGTAAATTTAACTTTTCTTGCTGTTTGTGCACTAAAGTGTACTCAATTGGCCCAAAAGAATGCAACTTCTAAAAGTAGGCCAACTAATTTATAGGCAATAGCTTACATACCATGAAAACTGGATCAATAAGTAATGTTATATTTATTTCCAAGAAAGCTAGTAATATTTTTTTCAATGAAAAGTGAACAGGGATGAAGTCAGTCATAAAGTGCTTTTTTTCCGAGGGTGGAATGAAAATAAGAAAACACCTTTCTCTGAGGAAGGTATATGAATCAGTGACCAGGAAGGCAAGGAGGAAGTGAAGGAAAATGCACATGGCAGGAGAATCTGATAGATCTTTCTCAGCCTGGCAGAAGGAGAATGTAAAGATCTAGGAATTTGGGTCACAATTAAGGCTAACATCAAGAAAGAAAAAATCAGTCCTCTCTGATATTATTATTACTGGAATCCCATTCATCCTCGATTTTATTCATTCATGTATCAATCTTCTATTTATTTAGGTGTAGTATATGGAGCATACACCATGTGTCAAAGCCTGATCTGGGAACTGAGGCTATAACAGGCATAGTCTACACTGTTCTCGGAGGCTGCTGGCCCACAGTTCCTACAGAGGCTGATGGCTGCTGAAGTTTCTCTGCTAAGTGTGTTTGCCAGGTCTGTGCATGTGCTCAGAGATGTGTCAACACCTCTGACAGGCTCCTTCACCAGTGGGACCCAGCAGATGTTTGGTAAATGACCCAGTCTCCTTCCCCTTGGAGGACTGAGGCCCATTTTTGCCCTCCCAATGGTGACCTGCTCATTGATGCTCTCTTTATTGGCTTTCTTCCCTTCCCTCTTTCTCTTCCCTGTTCCTTCCCTTCCGGTGTTGCCTGGGCTTACCTCCCCATCACTAAGTATTTTTCCATTTCGAGGGTAAGACAGGAAATAAAGCAGACATGATCCTCTTCTTGTAAAACTTACCACTTGGGAGAGAGGCAATAAAAAAGTGAGAAAAATAAAAACACAAAATAATTTATTCTGATTATTGTCAGAACCTAAAGAAGGTAATAACCAGGATTACTGAAGTTAAAGGAAAGTGGGCCTTGTTTGGGTGAGATTGGAGGGCCTCAGTGAGGAGGTACCTATGAGCTGAGGCCTGAGAGGAAGGAGCCAGGTATGTAAAGAGATAGGGGGGAAATCCCATTCCCATGAAGCTCTTTATTTTCTCACTACCATCCCAGGGTTCTAGGGACACTCAGTTCTTTCCCAGAGCTGCCCTCCCCCTCCCCACAGAGACCGAGTATATTTGGTTGTGGCACCATTCCTGGTTCTGGAATGTGCTCCATGTCCACTGAGAAGGAAGGGGGTCTGCAGAGCAGCACTGGATTTTTTGCTTTGGGACCAGGCACCACAGGACTTTGGGGTAGTCTTGGGATACCTGCTGTCCCCAAGATCATTGCCTGAATCCTTGGCTCTGTGGTAGATGGCCTTTGCTGAGATCTAAGCCCCTTCTCTGGATCCATCCCTTTTGCTCCTGCACAGCCAGCAGGGTCTCATGCTCACCCCTGATCAAAGGACAGAAGGCTGGGGTAGAAGATGGAGACTCAGTGGCTGCAGCTACTTCCTCTCTCCCTTTCTGCGGCCCACAGTCCCATGGACTAGAGCTTCTTCAGGCTACCACTCGGGGCTGCTTTGGATGAGGCAGCAAAGCATGTGAAACAAGAGGAAAGGATTTTTCGGATACAGGGTTTTTCCTTTTTTCCTTCCATCAGAAGGGAAGGTGAGTCAGGCTCTCACCTTTGTAAAATCTGGGGAATTGCACAGATACTCTGATTACCTCATCGTAATATATGTTGGGAATTAGGGTAAGAACAGTTCACTGAATTTGGTAATAAAGGCATCATTTTCTAAGGAAACACTGTTGATTTCGTTATAAAATCACATCCCGTCCTGCAATAATTGTGGTGGAGGACAGCAGAGCGGAGGTTTATCCCCCTTTTTAGCTCGAAGTCTGACTCTTGCTCCTGGGCACACGCCAGCCATTTACAACATCAACGCCGCATTAGAACAGCGATGCGAAAGGCCAGAGCTCAGGCCTGACTTCTGTGTTTGCAGGACTGCCCTCCGCCTATCGGTCCCTTTCAGAGTTCCGGTTTCCGGTCTAGAGCTGGGGACTCGCTTGTTCCCCAGTGACTGGCGGCCTCTGCTTGGAGGGGTGGTCTCACCAGAACAGCTCACAGGACACAGCATACTTAGCTCCGTGTTCCCGAGGGTTGCTCAGGCCACATCTGCACCAGGTTTGGTGGGGGTGGCCGTGGGAAGGAGGCTGGTTTGCTCCCCTTGCTGACCTTTGAGAGAACAATTTCAGCATTGATGTTGTGCTGGGAACGGGGTTATGATATGATGGGAAGCACTGGGTAAGAGGAAATAGAGAAGAAAAAGTGTATGCATTTGAGATTTGGGCCATTAAAAGACTAGAAACAAACAAAAACAAGAATGGGAACTCGAATCCATCGGGTGAAGGAATTTTTAAATTTTTAATGAAGATGAGAGATATCTGAGCATTTTGATATTTGATATTTGAAAGGAGAGGACCTGAAAGAGGAGTGGAGACGAGAGGATTTATGAGGGCAATTTCTCAGTGTCACAAGCCTTGTCTTATTCGCATTGTGCAGACCCCAATATTGACAGCAGCCTCCTCCTCCATCACTTCCTCCTGGTTTGTCCTTCTCGCTTTCATTGTCTTAATATTTCATGCTGGCTCTATGTAGAAACAATATGTAATATAAAAGATGAAGTTCTCAAAATCTGCACCCCAACCTGGAAATAATCACTGCTATCAACAGCTTGGTAAATATTTCTACAGATTTTTTAATACGTTAATACACAAATGACTATTTTTGCAATAACTTATTTTTCAAAGATCAGATCATATTATATGTTAGCAATTCTTTTCTACTATGATGACATATTTCTAAGTTTTAATACACCTACCATTTCTTTTCTAAGAGGTATTATTCCCTAGTGGTTAAGAGAAAATGTTCTGGTGTCAACTGCTGGGCTTCAAATTCTGGCTAAGCTGTTGTAGTCAGTCGTTTCTTTGCATGAATTTCAGTTGCTATGGTTTTGTTAAAAAAATACCAGACTCTCAACAACACAATTCAGATTTCACTTACCATGTGAATAATTGAATAAAGAGCAAATGTTGATGCCATCTCTTCAGACCACAAATCTCTATGTAAATAAGAGATACGTATTATGATCAGTGACCAATCACATCTCTTCTTTCAAAATCTGTTGGTGATTGGTATCATACATCTGTTATCAGTTCACACAAAACAATAAAGCACATAATTTTTAAAATGTTTATTTTTGATTAAAATTTTTTAATGTTTATTTATAATTATTGAGAGACAGAGAAAGACAGAGCATGAGTATGGGAGGGGCAGAGAGAGGGAGACACAGAATCCAAATCAGGCTCCAGGCTCTGAGCTGCCAGCACAGAGCCCATAGCAGGGCTCGAACTCACAAACCGCGATGCCCAATCGACTGAGCCACCCAAGCACCCTGTTTTTTTCACTTAAAAAATTTTTTTTAATGTCTATTTATTTTTGAAAGAGAGAAAGAGACAGAGTACAAGCAGGGGAGGGGCAGAGAGAGGGGGAGAGACAGAATCTGAAGCAGGCTTCAGGCACTGAGCTGTCAGCTCAGAGCCCAATGTGGCCTGAACTCATGAACCATGAGATCATGACCTAAGCTGAAGTTGGAAACTTAACCAGCCAAGACACCTGGGCATCCCTGTAATATAATTTTTAAGTTTGGATAACTTTCCAATATTTTATCCTTAATGTTTTCAATGTTGTGAAATATCTCTTGTGGTTTCTGTGCTGTGAAGTTTTTGAAAGTGTCACTTCTTTTGGGATATCTTCCTCCCTTCCATCACAAGCACTTTCATCATTTATGTCAATACACCCTCATTAAGTTCGTTGCATGTCTAGGGGCTCTCAACATAGCAGCAATGTTAATATTCCACTGGTCACTCATTTCTTCTAGAAATTCTACTCGAACTTCATGTTCAGTACTATCACTTTTTGTTTCTTTGCTGCTCTTTCATGTTTTTTAGCCATTTCTTTCTTTTTCATACTTAGTCTTCCAAAATGTCACATGGGTTTACCAATGGGAAACATGCAAGCACCATAATTATGTGTTTTATTGGGACACCTTGGTGGCTCAGATGGTTAAGCATCTGAATTCGGCTCAGGTCATGATCTCACGGTTTGTGAGTTCACGCCCCATGTAGGGCTCTGTGCCAAGAGAGCCTGCAGCCTACTTTGGATTCTGTCCATCTCTCCACATTTCACCCCCTCATGCTGTCTCTCTCTCTCTCACTCAAATATAAGTCAACATTAAAAATTTTTTAAATTTTTAAATAAGTTGGAGTGCATTATCATTTGTATTATTTTCATTTTTCTGTGCATTTGTAATAGACAGAATGAGTATTTCTAATATTTTGCGAAAAAACTTTAAATCATGTTCTTACTGATTATCAAGCTCACCTCACGATATTCAGCATGCATGGTCATTGTATGGTCCTAAATTTCTTTGTAAAGCAAGGACTACCTGCATCTAGCTGAGTATCTTAGGTGAGTTATTTCAACTGTTTATAGCCCTTTTTTCCACCTGAAAAATGGAGATAATGATAATATCTACCTTATAGGGATGTTGTGATAGTTATCTAATACCTATGAATCAATTAGAACAAGCAATAGGTTATTAGTAAATAGCATTAATTGAATGCCCTATTATATTTCATTGTGTGGCTGTATCTTAACTTTCAAACAATCCCTTGTTGTTGGATATTTATGTTTGTAAAAATCCTCTGTGATAAACAGTATTGCAGTGATCATCCGTGTACATAGATCTTTGATTTGAACAGTTGGTGTTTCTATGTTTGTTTGTTTGTTTTTGAGAGAGAGAGCATGCTTACGTGGTATAATGAGTTGGGGAGGGGCAGAGGGCAGGGGCAAGGGAGATTTTTTTTTTTTTTTTTGGTAGGGCTTGAACTCACTAACCGTGAGATCATGACCTGAGCTTAACCAAATGAACTACCCAGGTGCCCCTGATTTCACAATTTAACTGTGAGTTGCAACCCATAGATTTAATTTTTTTTTAAACATTTATTTAATTTTGAAAAGCAGAGCATGAGCAGAGAAGGGGGAGGGAGAGAGGGAGACACAGAATCCAAAGCAGGCTCCAGGCTCGAAGCTATTTATTAGCACACAGCCCGATGCGGGCCTCAAGCTCCCGAACTGGGAGACCATGATCTGAGCTGAAGGCTCAACCGGCTGAGCCACGAAGGCACCCCTGAGTTGCCTCCACACACAGTACCAAGCCGGAGGCAGCACTCGATTCCATTCCTCTGAGATAGTGACCTGAGCCGAAATCAAGAGTTGGATGCTTAACCAACTGAGCCACCCAGGCACCCCTGTTAGATGAATTCTTGAGAAAAATAGTAGCATTACAAAAAGTGAGCAAAACGGGGCGCCTGGGTAGCTTAGTCGGTTAAGCGTCCGACTTTCGCTTAGGTCATGATCTTGCAGTTCGTGGGTTCGAGCCCCGCGTCAGGCGCTGTGCTGACTGCCAGCTCGGAGCCTGGAGCCTGTTTCGGAGTCTGTGACTCCTCTCTCTCTGACCCTCTCCTGCTCACGCTGTCTCTCTCTCTCTCTCTCTCTCTCTCCTAGAAATAAATAAAACATTTAAAAAAATTAAAAAAAAAAAAAACAAAACAAAAAGTGAGCAAAGGGCTGTCTGGGTGACTCAGTCAGTTAAGCATACAGACTCTTGATTTGGGCTCAAGTCATGATCTCATGGCTGGTAGGATCTAGTGCTATGTTGGGCTCTGTGCTGACAGTGGGAGCCTGCTTGGGATTATCTGTCTCCCTCTCTGTCCTTCCCCCACTTGTGCGTGCTCTTTCTCTCTAAGTAAATAAATACACTTAAAATAAATGACCACTTACAAATTTAATAAACATTTCCAGATTGGCTTCCAAAAATGTTCCAAGGACATAGAAGTCCCTATTTCCCCATAGTCACACAGATTCCTTTTAAATTTTTGCTAATGTGAAAGGCAAAAATGATGTCTGATTTTAAATGGTATTTCTCACATGTTTATTGACCATTTTGTATGTCTCTTGCTGAAAGGTCTCTTACAGTTCTTTGCTTATTTTCCTATTGATGTGTCACTTTCAGAGTGATTTTTTACTGTTTTAATTTATTTTCACATATTAAATAATGAAACATTGCAAAAACAGTTGCATACCATCTAACTAAGGTTAAAAGCAATTTTTGCATATTTAGCAGTCCTTTATTCTAGGCAATAGCATATTTCCTTATAACAAAAAAACCCTTTGTTTTGAAACAAGTATACACTCCTAGGAATTGCTAAAACAGCACAGGAAGCCCTGTGAACCCTTCACCCAATTTCTCCCATTGATGACATTTTACATAGCTATAGTGCAATATGAAAACTAGGAAATTGAAACTGGCACAAAATTGTTAACTTCATTACAGACTTTATTCCATTTTTATTCCTCTGTGTATGTGAAGTATTATGCAGTGTTATCTCATATATAGATTTGTGTAATCACCACCATAATCAAGATACAGAACTCTTATCTCTGGAAAGGAACGTCTTTGTACTATCAATTTATAGTTGTTCCCACACTCATCCTTGTCCCCTAGCACCCACTGATCTGTTCTCCATCTCTATAGCTTTGTCATTTTAAGAATGGTATATAAGTGCAAACATACAGTATGTAACCATTTGAGATTGGCACTTTCTACTAAGCATAATGACCCTGAGATCCATCCAGGCGGTTTGCATCAATAGTTTATTCTTCTTGCTGCTGACTAGTATTCCATTACATGGATATACCAAAGTTTGTTTAACCATTCATCCACTGAAGGACATTTGGGTTGATTCCAGTTTTGACAGTTGTGAATGAAGCTGGTATGAACATTCATGCACAGGTTTTTGTGTGAATGTAAGTTTTCATTTCTCTGGGATAATTTTCGAAGAGTGTGACTACTGAATGGTAGTATAGCAGATGTATATTTAGTTTTATAAGAAACTGCCAAATTATTTTCCATAGTGGCTACACCATTTTACATATCACCAACAAAGTACGACTAATGTAGTTTCTCTGCATACTTGCCAGTATTTGGTATTATCACTAATTTTTATTTTAGACATTCTGGTAGATGTGTAATGATACCTCATTGTGGTTTTAATTTGCATTTCCCTAACAGTTAATAATGCTGAACATCTTTTCATGGGCTTAGTTAACATTCACAACTCATCTTGGGTAAAATGTTTACCTGTGTCTTTTTGAGTTGTTTCTTCTTATCGAGTTGTTTGTTTCTGCTATTGAGATCTGAGAATTCTTTATATATTCCAGATGAAATTCACTGTCAGATAGGTTATTGGCAACTATTTTTCTCTTGTCTGCAGCTTGTCTTTTCATCTTCTTTTTTGTTTGTTTATTTACTTACCTTGGGACACAGCACATGAGCAAGTGGGGGAGGGGCAGAGAGAGAGAGGGAGAGAGACTCTCAAGCAGGCTCTGCACTGTCAGCACAAAGCCCAATGTGGGGCACAGTCTCAGGATTGTGAGATCATGACCTGAGCTGAAATCAAGAGTCAGATGCTTACCTGACTGAACCACCTGGGTGCCTCTTACCTTTAAAAAAATAAAAAGTTTATTTGTTTTGAGAGAGAGAGAACGAGAGCACATGCGCATTTGCATGTGAGCAGAGAGAGAAGGAGACCAGGGGAGGGACAAAGAGACAGCATGAGAGAGAATTCCAAGTAGTCTCCTTGCTGTCAGCACACAGCCCTATCTGGGGCTCGATCCCGTGAACTGTGAGATCATGACCTGAATGGATATCAAGAGTCGGGCACTCAGTCCACTGAGCCATCCAGGTGCCCCCTCATCTTCTTCATAGACCCTTTCACAGAGCAAATGTTTTTGTTTTTGATAAGGTTCAGTTTATCTATTTATTCTTTCATGGCTTTCATATTGATTTTTAAGTGCTCGTGTATTAGGGAAATTAGTCCTACGACTGGTCAGGCATGTTAGAAATAGGTTTTTTTTAAATATAAAAACAAAATTCTGTATTTGTTTATTGATGGTAGTCTGTTCCACATTAAAGTTTTTCTTTCTGTGCAGTCAAATCTCTGTCCTTTTAGTCTGTTGCATCTATTGTGCTGTGCTTTTTCTAAACCTCTTCCTTAATATTCTTGACCTTTTTTGTCTCTCTCATTTGCACTCTGATTTTATTCAGCTGCCCTGAAGTGTGAGTCTTTAGAAAAAAATTCTCAATTATTGACATTTTAATACACTCACTTTTATCTCTGTATATTTTTTCCATCTGATCTATGCATTGTCACAGCTTCGACTATAATCCCTAGCTTTGATTTGTATTTATAGCTCCAAACTGATTGGATTTTTCACAAGGCTATCCCTTCCATCACCTGAAATTCAGATGTCCTGAGAGGAGATCATTATTCTCCCCACTTTGGTTATCATCCTCAGCTAGAAACTGCAGCATTGTGTTAACCTTTTCCCTTCTCTTATAAACACATCAGTAGTCACCATTCCTGCTGATTTGTTTCGCAGGGTCCATTAAATCTGTTTTTGTCTGGTTCAGATTACCAATTAGAGATGGGATAGCTCTCTCCTAAATGGTATTCCCCTGTCTTCTCCCTGTTGATCCATTCTATACATGATTGTAAGTGTTGTCTTCTTGGGACAGAGGCCCAAGTTTGCCATTTTTTTCTGGTCAAAATCCTAATAAAAGGAGAAAATAAAAAAGATATAATACTAATGTATAAAAATAATATATAGCCATGGGTAGATGAGAGGTTCAAACTTTTATAGAAGAATACTTTGTACAACTCTATGGCAATTTAAAAATCTGGGAAACTGATGTTTTCATAGAAGAATATAAATAACCAAAATTGAATAAATAAAATACCTGAATAGGTCCAGATCATGAAAGAGATGCAGAAGAGTTATCATTTGTAAAGGTACTAGGCCTAGTGTTAGTTGCTACAGAGGAGGAAAAAATCTAAAACAAACATACCCTCTCTACTTACAATGAATTTAAGACCCGCTATAGAGCACAGGTTGAATTAATCAAAGCAAGAATGTGAGATTGGTTAGATGATTTCTTTATTCTTTTGAATTAATGGCCTTTATAATTTTTCCCCCAAATCAAATACCTTGCATATACAAACAACAGATACAGGGGTTTTGTGGTTTTTTGTTTTTTTTTTTGCTTGTTTTTTCGCATTATTTTTCTTCTCTGGAAACCTCAAGATGGCAGCATTTTACTTTGGAAGAAGGTGTTTATTGCCTGTAGTACCATCATGCTTTTCTATTCATAACAGCAGCCAGGAGCCAGGTTGTGATAGGAGGAGGGGGTGGAAGACAAGGTGGTATATGTATTTCAAAATATTCTGACCTTTTACACTCTTCTCTAATTTAGCATCCATCCACAAAGAACCTCTGTAAATTGGTACTTCAGGCAAGCCTTCAGGTAAGCAGTTTCTCTACAGTCATTATAGAAAAAGGTATTTTATTCTAGCTGCATCTGTTCCACTTCAGCTAAATAGCTGATTCTTCTGTTCCCAACATGCCACTTGCACAGAAACGATTTTTATTTTTCATCTTGGAAATTAGGCAGTATAGAGTCAATATTTTAATAGTGCAATAGCAGTGTCAGACCTTGCCCAGATTGAAATGGTCTCCTTGCCTCCTTAGAGCCTCTTTTCCAGACTTCCTGTCATGTCACTCTCTTATTCCCAACATCCTATGGCTTCCTATTGTAATTAAAGTAAACACAAACTCCTTACTGTTACCTGCGTGTTCTATAGGGTCTGGCTCTTCCCGCTTCTGTGACTTCACCTTTTATCATTTTCCTTCTGACCTTCTTCTCTTGTTCTAGCGACCATGGTCTTGGTGTTCTGTAACACAATGAGATTTTTGCATCTCAGGGCCTTTGCGCTCTAATTTTTGCATGGCTTACTTTCTTATTTAAGTCTCAAGTTTCACTTCTTCAGAAAGAACTTCCCTGATCACTGTCCTCCTCTCCCCAACCTTGTATTTATCCTCTTTCTTTTTCTTCATTGGAGGAATAATACTACCTAATCATTTATTGTTTGTCTTTCTCAAGCAGAATTAAGTTCCTTGGAGGATTGGGACTTTGTCTTTACTCCTGTCTCCTTTTAGAACCTAGAAACATGCCTGACACAGAATAGGTGCTCAATAACTAGTTATTGAGTGAATGGAAAAAAAATGAAGCAAAGTTCAGTCAATGTGATGTCTCTGTTTCATCTCTTTTGTAGGTAGCAGTATGCCAGATACTTGGAGAGCAGCAGTCTAAATCCTAATGAGGCAGTGTTGTTGACACTATGCCATTGAATTTTTTTAGACACCCATGATTATCTACGTTTATTTATTTCTTAAAGACATTTTATTGAAAAAATTCTCTCCTAAGTTGTCCTAAAACAAAAATGATCAGATAAATGATAGCAGTTAGGTATATTTAACATTTAAGGATTTTCAAAAACATCAAAATTAGCTCAGATTATTCTAGAATAGATCTGTGAAGTTAATTTTTAAATGAAGTAAATTTTACTGAAAAGTTGTGAGAGTTACCAAAAAGAACTGTCATTTATGTCAAAAGAGTTATCTGCATTACTAATCCTGGATGATATTTTGTCTGCAAAACAGCTCTGAGGAATAGAACAGTCAGGCTGCAAAGAGAAAAGTGTAAATAATTAAGATGTAAATTCAATTATGGCTGTGTCCCTATTACAGTTCTTTTTTTGGTAATAGCAATATACTGTGTCTTCAATTTATAAATGAAATTGCATTGGATGTAAGCATGTGGAAGGAGATATTATGAAAAGTTCTTGGTAAATAAAAAGCAATCCATTAAATATTTCCAGCTATATGGATCTAGTTGTACTCAAAATATTTGATTCAGTTTTACTACTACATAGAATCACAAAATTTAATTATAATATCATAATTTAAATCATATTCTGTTCTGAAACATATTAAGATAATTCTCTACTTTTTTTGGTAATAATAAACATTCATTAAGCTGAAATATATTAAATACCATCTTTTTAAAAAAATGTTTATTTATTTGTTCTGAAAGAGAGAGAGAGACAGGGAAAGAGAGAGAATCTCAAGCAGGCTCTGCAGAGTCAGCAAAACAGGGCTTGATCTCATGAACCTTGAGATCATGACCTGAGCTGAAATCAAGAGTTGAATGCCTAACTGACTGAGCCACCCAGGCAACCCTAAATACCTGGGTGGCTCAGTGGCTATATGAAGTGGAATTAGGAATTAAAACAGCTTGTTTTTTCATAGTAACTGAGTGTCCCTGTCAATTTTGTAAATGATCATTAGCTTAACTCTTAGTATTTAAAAAAACCATTTTGATTTGTTCATGCTTACCATGTTATAATTAATAGTGACATCCATAGTCTATAAAGTGTTTGCAGTGTGCTAGACACTATATTAAGCACATACAGATTACTTGATTGATACTAATGGTCTAGCCTTGGAACCTAGTCATCATTTATTATACATTTTCAATGGGAACATGGACTCAAACTTTAAAAGCACTGACTTATAAATGAAACAGGTTCTTCCTCTTCATCTTCTTCCCTTTCTTCTTCCAAATCAAACTTCTTAACACAGTATATTTATAGGAAGAGAACTATCTAAATTGGGTAACTACAATGAATGGAAACTTATGTAGCATGACAAATTGGATTAAAGTAGAGTAACTTTTGTGTGCAGAAGAATATTGAAGTTCTTTCCTATTTTATTTCCAAATAGGATTTTTGGCTTTAAAGATATTACTGCTGACAACATTGTTCTCTGCCTATTTACAAAACTACAAAGTCTGGTGCATGCATTACTTGCAGTTACTTTCACAGTAAACCTTATCATGTGAGTTTAATCTGTTTACTGTGATGTGGCAAAGTACTTTATTAGCAGTGCCTCTTTGCCCTCTCTGCTTAAGGTTACTTTTGCCCAAATTAGCTCCACCATCTATGACTGCCATAGTTGGCTACGTTTGCTGCTGCTGCTGCTGCTGTGTCTACACATGTGCATTGATATGATTCAGTGAAACCTTGTTAATGTTCTTCACCTTTCTCTTATTTGACTCACTACAGGTTAGTCCATTATAAGGAAGTCACTTTGAACTCAAAATCTGCCTAAAATGATGACAGGATAGCAATTTAGTCATCTGGCATGCCAGGGTAGATATAATGGACATATGTGGCATATCTATACTCAGCATCTATTTCCCTATTGGGGTAAAAATATTCTCCGATAAAGAGGTACGCTCTTTCATTGACTCAGTTGATGCCTTTGATTCAGTTGGAGTTGAACCTGCCTCTAGAGCCCACGGTTGGTACATGGAAGTTTAGAGCAATATATGCTAGTTCAGAG